GGCTTAAAAATTATGGTACATTAATAGTATATTGTGTAGTTAGTTAAAAGAATGAGCTAGATAAGAGTATCCATTATAAACCTCAGTAAGAAAAAGTTCAGAAAAATATATACGGTGTAATTCATTATTTGTAAAAATCAAAATTTCTATTAATATGTGTTTCTAGAACCACTGGAAAAGGTATGGAGAGAAACATTAACCTTTCAACCTTGATTTTATCTAGGATTGGGATAGGGAGAGGAAAACTATCTTTTTCTTTATTTGCTTCTGAAATATACTTTGTTATACTTCTGTGTTGTCTGAATTGTTAAAATGAATGTTTATTACCTTTTAAACCAGTGAGTAGAAAGTGAAATGAGGAAGTAGTCTTAGATATAAACTATTTTTAGATTTGGAGAGAAGAAAGATAAATTAATCTCCAGTAAGCAGAGATTGAAAATATTGGAGACAGAGTAACCCATAGGTGGGCCCTGAGGGAATAGAGAGGATCCATTTCAGAGCAGAGTCCCAAAAGTACTAGGGCTGCTGCGATGGCTTCACTGTTCCAGAGGGAAATGCAAATAAACAGCATAGTTCATAAAAATTTAGTTCTTTAATGTTGAAAGTGCATTTTTTAAAAGGAATTGAGGGTGATGAGATGGGAAGACTTTAAAAATGTATACCATTATTTGTCAAGATTAAAAAGTTAGCAGCCCAGGCGCCTAGGTGGCTCAGTCGTTAAGCGTCTGCCTTTGGCTCAGGTCATGATCCCAAGACCCTGGGATCAAGTCCCACATTGGCCTCCCTGCTCAGCGGGGAGCCTGCTTCTCCCTCTCCCAATCCTGCTTGTGTTCCCTCTCTCGCTGTCTATCTCTCTCCGTCAAATAAATAAATAAAATCTTAAAAAAAAGAAAAAGTTAGCAGCCCTATCTATGTCAGTTCCTAAACTGTTAGAAATGCTAATGGTTTGTAAATCCCAAAGTCTGGAAAAAACAGATCTACAGCACAAGTAGAAAGCTAAGTAAGCATTAAGCAAGAGGTGTTTCCTCTGTGGTAGAGGACAACAAGTGTGTGTGGATATAGATAGTTATAGACAGACTGCAGGTATAGGGAAAGAAGGTAAGAAAGTTAAAGACTGTGGCGAGATCTTTTGCTGGGTCAGGGTTGAGGGGCTCTGCAGGAGTAATTGTGAGGTTGAGACTTGAGGGGAATGGTAAAAAAAATGGTAAGAGGTGCTGTGGGGGATGGGAAACCAACCTTAGAGAAACTGGAGCTTTTAATATGGAATAATACCTGACTATGTTTTGTTTAGATTTGTCCTTTTATGAAATTGTCCTTGGTCCTTTTTGTATTCTCTCCCTCATTTGACACCCCCTTTCCCAACCAGCACTTTTGCTTTTTTATTCCTTTTATGACACTTATATTCTTCCTTAGTTTGTTTTTGTACTTATCTGTACCCACTAAACTGTCTCTGAGACACTGTTCATTCATCTATAACCATCTCACAGCACCTCTCAAATAGTAGACACCCAACTGATTGGTGCTGAAGTAAATTTAATTCCACATAGAAAATGAGTGGGTAATAATCAGTATCATCTTGATTAAAATTCTGCACAGCTGTGAAAACAGAGATAAACCAGCTTTTTTTTTTAAATTCCTGTAAACTAACTTTTCCCTATAGCATGTATTTTCATTCCTTACCAAGATACTATATATTTGGTCATATTTTGCTTGTAAGAGTCTTAAACTGTACACCCGTGGAATTCATACACTCTTATAAAAATGCCACAGAGATCATTAAAATACAATTTTCCACTGTAATGGATATGAAAACTGAGGACCAGAAAAATTAGGCAATTTGTTCAAAACTGCAAGGGTATCATGTGAGAGTCCATATGAGAGTCATATTTCCAACTTAATTCAGTGTCTTTACACAGTGATTCCACCTCTTAATTTCAATGTTATTTTGTATTCAACTTATAGTAAATTAATAATAGCAGTTATCTCTGGTAAAGCTCTCTCAAAATCAACATACTGATTACCCTTCTTTTTTTTTTAAAGATGCCAGTATGGGTTTCTGTTGCTGTGTGACATGTTTGATATTTTAAGTGCCGGGTAAAGTATAATAGGCCAATTGGGCATTCAGTTGAAGGTTGCTTTATGATGCTTATCAGTTGTGTTATTTATGGTTGTAATCAAATCTTAAATGTTGAGAGTGATAGTTGATATATCAATCTTTACTCCTGCATTTTATAGTTCATCATTTATTTAAACCTCTGTATCTCTTTATTATGTTGTAAATAAAAAATACTGAAACCACAGAAAGAGTAACAAATCCTCACATGCAAGCATAACTAGGAGGATGCTGCAGGTACAGAAATACACAGCCTTTTCCCTGGGGAGGCAAGAGATGGCCTATTACAAACCACATGAAAGTAGAAACCACTAGTACATTAGCATCAAAAGCATTTTTCTCTTAAAATATTCTCACATACTACCTAGTGGAAAATTAATTATCTGCCAGAGACTAAATATATCCAAAAATTCTTATTGTTCAGTATAGAGGTTCCTCAAAAAATTAAAAACAGAATTACCCTATGATCCAGTAATCACACTACTGGGTATTCACCCAAAAAATATAAAAACACTAATTCAAAGGAATACATGCACCCTTATGTTTATTGCAGCATTATTTACAACAGCCAGCCTATGGAAGCAACCCAAGTGTCCATCGACAGATGAATGGATAAAGAAAATGTGGTCCATACAGACAATGGAATATTATCTAGCCATAAAAAGAATGAAATTTTGCCATTTGCAACATGAATAGAGCTAGAGAGTATAAAACTAAGTGAAATAAGTCATAGAAAGACAACATATGATCTCACGCATATGTGGCATTTAAGAAAACAAAAGAGCAGAGAGAAAATAAAAGAGAGACAAACCAAGAAACAGACTCTTTAATTATAGAGAACCGATTGTTACCAAAGGGGAGGTGGGTAGGGATTAAAGACTACATTTATCATGATGAAAACAAAATAAAATAAAATGATAAAACAAAGGGGAAATGGCCCCAGGGGGAAAAAAGGATTTATATCGTTTGGTTTTGCTGAAATGGTATACTGTTACTGCCTTTTTAAAACTATAGTTTTCTATTGGCAGATATTATCATTTGACCTTTAATTGAATTTTAAGAAGTAATACTTTCTTAAGAAATAAATAAATAGATTATCATGTAAAATATCCACAGAAGAATGTTGCCCCATTAGTCTCCACGTGAAATCACATTCCCGGAGGTCGCATTCTCTAGGGTGAAGATGTGCATGTATACATGACAAAGCTACACCCTTATTCTGTTGGATGGCTCATCATCGTGCTTGTTGACTGGTTATTTTACGGAATTCTGTTTGCTCTGATAGTGACAGGGAAAGGCCGTTCATAAAAATTTTTGTTCTTCCATTAGAAAAAAACCATTTTAACTCCTCTAGATCATCATTCCTTCAAACTTTCCAAACACAGAAAAGCCCATCTAAATCCCCAAACCTCGTATCAAAAACTATACATTGTAAAATTCCAAAGACTTTGAAATCGGGACAAGGCTGCCATTCATATATTCCTCCAGCAATTATTGACCAAGTTCTCATTAAGTGACAGGCACTGTGCCAGGAGCTGTTGTTGGGAGACACTGTCCCAGAGCTCAAGGTGTGAGGCAGACACGGAGCGGACCAAACTGGACGCACAGGATGAAGGCGCCATAGAAGCGACCTCACAGTCCGGGGAGCAGGGGACATGGCAACCAGCCGAGTCTGGGCGAGGGCGGCAGAGAGGCGGCCTGCCGGCGGAGTCTCAAGGAGGTGGGGAGGAGTCATTCTGGGCAAGTCGTGGTTAGAGGGGCGCAGCGTGCACAGAAAGGGGATGGGGCAGGTGCGAGCCGCACGGCTGGCTGAGACTGAGACCTGGGGTAAGCCGCGTCGGCGGAGCCGCCCGGGGAGGCCCGGGGCCAGAGCTCCCTCCCGCGGGGGCTGTCAGCAGGACCCCGGGGTGCGCGGGGGACTGAAAGGACCACCTGGAAGAAGAGGGGGTGGACGCCGGTGCGGTAGGAGCAGTCAGGAGCGTGCCGAAATTGTCCGGAGAGAAACTATGAGGTTGAAGAGTCAGTGATTTTTGAAAAACAAAAACAAAAACAAAAACAAAAAACAGCCTGTGAAGGTGTTTCTGAAGTAAAACAAAAGATCTAACGACCCGACGGGGAATAAACAAGGCACACGTCGCAGGTCCCGACAAATTATCGAAAAATCACGCCGCAAAAGAAAGAAAAAAAAAGAAAAATCATGCCGCTGCCTGACCACAGAGTGGAAGTCCTCTAAGTTAATCATAATCAAGTTTAATTTTTTGTTGTGGGAATTAAGACATGGGGAAATGCGTAGGCTAGATGTACCACAGGGAAAACCTCTCCCCTAAGCATTTTTTTTTAAATGCCGCCAGGAGAAAAGAAAGAGGTGGGCTTCCAAGTTAAGGACACTTCAACCTCCCCGTAAGGTGTACTTCAGGTGGGCAACGGTGCTGGGTGAAAACTCAATCCACCGCCAAACAGCCTAAGAACACTCTTCAATATCGGATTACCATAAAGATGGTGTAGCAAATGCCACGCAGAACACCTCACGTCCAGGTCCCCAGGGGCCTCCTTCATTGTCCGCGGCAGCTAAGCGGCTCCGTGGCCAGAGCAGCGCCAACTCGAGCGCCTCACACACGGCGCCTGCGCACAATCCGCAGGGTGGGAGGATGACAGCCCGCGGAAGACGTTTCCCAGAAGCCCGCGCCGCTCGCGGCCGTTCTCCCTCCCGCTCACAGGCCGCGTGACGTCACTCCGCCCGCCACGTTCCTAGGTCGCTAAGGGTGGTTTACCAGCGCCCCCCAGTGGTCTGGTTGAGCGTTGCAGCGGTGCGCGCGGGGCCCAACAAGCGAGTAGGGAGAGCGCGGCGGGTTCTGCCGCCCGCGCCGCCGTCGTCACCGTAGCGCGCCGACATGTGGCGGCGCGGCTGAGCGGAGCGGAGGGGGAGAAAAGGGAGGGCACGCGCGGGGAGGGAAGGGAGGAGGCCAGACAAGGCGGGGGGAGGGGGAGCAGCGGTGGCGCAAGTCGCGCGGAGCAGCGCAGCCCGGGTCCGCTCTCTGCTCCGCCGCCACCTCCCGACCCGGCGGGTAGAGCCGGCGCCCCAGCGACCTCCGGAACAACTCAAAGCGGACTAAGGAGTCCATGTTGGGGAACTTGGCGTCGTGACGGGGACCTAGGGACCTGCAGTGGGGCCGCCGCCGCTGGAGCAAGCGCCTCGACCTCGGCCTGAGGTAAACACGGGCCGACCCCGGGGGTGGATGGGCTCCGGCAGCTGTCGGGGCGAAGTGGGGGCTGTTACGGGCTGGCGCGGAGCGGAGGAGCGGGCCGGGGGCGACGGGAGGGCGGACAAAGTTTCGGAATCGCGCGCGGCCCAGGCGGCGTCCTGCGCTTGGAGGAAAGTTGGAGCTGCCTCTCAAGGCGGGGGAAGCTGCGGCGGGGAGGGCCCCTCTTCCTTCTCGCTACCCCGCGAGGGAGGCCCCGCTCCGGCCGCCGCCGCCGCCTCTCTGTCGACACCCTGTCCCATTTCCTCCTTGTGGCCTACCCGGCTCCCGCCGCTTCTGCCGGCGGAGCCTGTCCCCGCCTGGGTGAGGGGTCCGGTGGGGGGGGGGCGGGTTGAGGCAAGAGGCTCCACGACCCAGTCGGCACACATACACCCCCTCCCTGCAGTGGAAACGTGTCTTGTTGGGCTTCCGGGCGCTCCCCGACCCCCGAGTTCGCTTTACTTAGAAGACTTTGCTTTTGTCAGTAGTGTCCAAGCCCGCTCGTGAAACCAAACTTTACTACGCCGTGACCTCTCAGTGCGCGAATAGGGAAGAGCCGGCGCTGCTAGGCATCAGCGTTTACCCCGTCCTGAATTTCAAACTCTTCTCCCACCCAGTTTTTAAACCCGTTTCCTGGGCTGACAACAAAAGGGCCGGATCTAAACTTAACTTAATGAGTCGCCCCTCCTCACACCTAGGAATTTTGAATCATTAAAGACATTTCTTAAGAGATTGCTGGCCGTCTTGCTATCCACACATGTTTTGGAAAAATTGTTTTAAAAGTAAATGCCTGGTTTAAGTAGTTGATTAAAATACAGAATCAGATATTGAATTGTAAAATACCCCCAACATTTCTGTAGTGGACTTCTTACAGCGTCTACGAGTTGAGTGATTATCATTAATATTGGATTGCTTCTAACATCTTTATCATACTACCAGTGACCTAAGATTTTTAAGCAAAACTGATCAAAAGGTTTTTAATGTTTGGCTTTTGGACGCTGATCTTTAAAGTTTCGGAATTTTCACCGAATTTCGGAAAAAGCGTATTAATAGATGCATTTTTCATTTTGAAAATTAATTCAAGCGTATGACTGCTTACTTCAGAATATTGAAGGCAAAACGTTATTAAATAACTGGTAGTTTTTGTATTTTATTGGTAATTGTATTAAAATTTTGATAAGAATCAAATCTCTTTCTATACCATTGCTTTCTCTTTCCTGTTTCTTTGGCTGTTGGCTTAATCGTTTCACTTTTTTGCTGTTGTTTAAGAGCTACAGTAAAAAGTTTGTGGGATTTTTATTTTTGTTGCTTTAATTTATTGGGCAGATGAAATTTTGAAATTGTCTTTGGATTTCTTTTGTTTTATGCTCTTAAAGATAATCTGAATTTACTTTATGTTTATGCAGTATGAGTTTTTAAAATTATTCTTACTGTAGCTGCACTTTTTCATTACATTTTTTTCAGTGCTTGCAAGTATATTAATAGTAATTCAGTTTTACATTCAGATGATGACCTTTTTGCCTGAGAATTTGAGTACATTAAAGATTTTGAGTACATTTTAAGATTTTGGTAGGATAAAATTTGGATGTTTGCTTACTCTTAGTGTACTCACACTCAAAACATTCTTCAGTATGTCAAGGGGGAATAAAACTATAGGAGAATAGAAAATTGTTCATAAATATGCTGCCTGCCGGAAATGCGTAATAGAGAAAATTTTAAGAGTGATTTTTTTGGGTATGTCTTTAGGTGGTGGTAGTGGGGTCCATGAGTTAAGATTGAACTCTTCAGGGATCACCCAGCTTCCCCATTATTTTTTGGGCACTAGCCTGGCTTAGGCAATTTTCCTGAAAAGCTGTGCTGTTAATTAGAGATAGGAGGAAACAGTGCAGTTGCCTGATGTTGATTCACCATCAGTAGCATGTTCTAATAGTAGGAGAGTACAGTATTTACTATTCATCGACTTAATACTGAACTTTTAAGGTACACCAGTGAGAAATGGTTGTAAAACCTAAGCAAAGAGAGTGGCAGATGTAGAGGTAATAAAAAGAGTCAGCCTTAGAATAATTTTCATTGTAACTTCCCTTTAGCAAGCTCTGCCATCATCTACCTTTGCCTTTTAGTGACATACATTGGATCTTGACTTACCTTGCCCAGTGAAATAAAGAAGCTTAAAACCTAAATTCTTAGTTATGCCCTTTGTTCAAAAGAATAAATTAGTAGCTTTGCACCTTATCTTGCATCTGAATTGTACTAACTGGTAGTAGCACTCAGTAGAGCTCAGAGTTAAAATACCTGGTATTCTCTTGGTATTTCCAAGACTCATCTTTGCATTGTCATTGTTGTCTTTTTTTTTAACTTGTGGCTTTGTTAATTCTAGTACTTAGGCACATAAAGTTTTACTATGAAATGTAAAAACAGTACCATCATCTCTCACTTGCAAAATAGTTTCCTAAAAAGTCTCACTATGACCTTTGCTTACCTATAGGTTTTTAACACTCAACTGCCGGAGTGATCCTGATGAAATTTGTCAAACCATGTCACTTCTCTTCTCAAAGGGCTTCCGTTCTCAGTCAGTAAAATCCAAGTCTATGGTTTACCAGGCTCTGAGTGTTTTGAGTCTCTTCTTCCTCTCTGACTTGATTATCTTACTCTGTTCAACCAACTTCTGCTCTGCTACTGAAGTTTTCTGACTACTCTGTACAAAATAGCAGACCTTCCTCCCACATTTCCTACCACTTTTTAAGCCAGATTTTCTCCTTATCATTTTCTTTTTTTTTTTAAGATTTTATCTATTCATTCATGAGAGAGAAAGAGAGAGGCAGAGAGAGAAGCAGGCTCCCAAGGAGCAGGGAGCCCGATGCGGGACTCGATCCCAGGACCCCGGGATCATGACCTGAGCCGAAGGCAGACGCTCAACCATCTGAGCCATGAGCCACCCAGGCGCCCGCGTTTTATCATTTTCTAACATACTGTATAAATTACTATCTTAAGTTAATTGTCTGTCTTCTTCACTTTAGTGAATTTCTGTGAGACCAGGGTTTGTCAGTTTGCGTCATTGTTTTGTCTCCAAATACCTGAATAATGCCTGGTACATGGTAGGTGCTTATATTTAATACTTAATAGATTAACCTGCTTTCAGCTGGAAACATTAAAACATTAAAAATATTAATTGTGGTTCGAAACTTTAAACTGTGCTAGTCTTAGTCTTTTGCATGAACTGCTAAGTTACTTGTTATCCGTGCTTTATATTCAGTTCAGGGGACATTTTCAAAAGAGAGTATGATAGAATGTGATCTTGAAACTGATTTATCAGGATATAGACAGAACTAAGAATACTTAGCTAAGGGTAAAGTGGTGTAACTGTCTTGCTGTTTAAAAGTAAGACAGTTGTCATTTAGAAGCCAAATTAGATTTATTTTTGGTAGTTCCAGAAAGCAGAATTATGATTGTGGTAGTGGGTATTGAAAGGGAGGAGAAGCAGCAAGAGTGGGTATAGGGAAATTAGTTAAGACTCTTGCAGTAGTAGTCCAGAAGAGATGAGGATAGCTTGAATTAGGATGAGCATTGTGGAGGTGGGCAAAAGTAAATGGGATTTGAGATCACCAGGCCTTTGTTGATGGATGGAAAGTGAGGGACATAGAAATTTCAGCCATCAACTCAGGGAAACAGCTAGGTTGATGGTGATACCACAAGAAGGACCAAGGTTCTTTTGATTCTGGCATATTGCATTTAAGATACCTTTGGAACTTCCAGATGGAAATTAGATAATAGGGTTCTAAATTTCAGAGGAGAGGTATGGGCTGGAAATAGAAAATTGGAGTCACTTACATAGTCGAAACTAAGGTGGAATTGCCTAAGGGAGGGAATATAACTTGAAGGGAATCACAGTGGCTTCTAACATAAAAAGAAAAGTTTGCTGGAGGAATGTAAGCTCCCAAAGAATACTGTGAAGGTCAGAAAAGTAGGAGTTGAGTGTGGTATTAGAGAAACCAAAGAGACTATTTCAAGGGGAGACTAATCAGTAGGGTCAAGTGTTGATGAGAGTTGAGTAATGTAAAAGCTGCAAGATTTTTCTTTAAGATTTATTTATTTGAGAGAGAGAGAGAGAGCGCGCAAGGGCACAAGTGGGGAGGAGAGGGAGAAGCAGCCTCCCCGCTGAGCAGGGAGCCTGACTTGGGACTCAGTGCCAGGATCTTAGGATCATGTCCTGAGCCAAAGGCAGACGCTTAACTGACTGAGCCACTCCGGCATCCCAAGATTTTTCTTTTTTTTAGAGATTGGGGGAGGAAGAGGGGCAGAGGGAGAGAGAGAATCTTAAGCAGGTTCCATGCCCAGCACAGAGCCCAACAAGGGGCTCTATCTCACCGCCCTGAGATCACCACCTTGGTCGAAATCAAGAGTCGGGATGCTTAACCGATTGAGCCACCGAGATGCCCCAAGAGCTAAAAGATTTTTTCATTGAATTTAACAACAAGGAGCTCATTGGCCTTTTGAATAAGCAAGATAGTAAACTTCTTATTTTCAAATTGATGCTCCTGTAATTGCTTAACTAGTTGTAAAAAAACTGAGATCAAAGATTAAGAGGGGCGCCTGGGTGGCTCAATCATTAAGTGTCTGCCTTTGGCTCAGGTCATGATACCAGTGTCCTTGTATCGCGCCCCGCATCAGGCTCCCTGCTCAGCGGGAAGCCTACTTTTTCCTCTCCCACTCCCCCTGCTTGTGTTCCCTCTCTCACTGTCTCTGTGTCAAATAAATAAAATCTTTAAAAAAAAGATTAAGAAATTACCTGTCCACATTACAGAAGAGACCTAATGTTTGTCAAATATTTGCTATGTGCCAACCACTCTGTTTTAGACATTTTACATAAATTTTCATTTGACCTTTTCAGCAGCCTTGCAATATTGGGTGTATTAATCCGTTCTACAGAAAGGAGTCTGAGGCTCTAGAGAAGTTAAATTACTTGCTAAGTG